GTAGACGCCGTCTTCTAAAAAGTGGACGCCGTCTTCTGAAAAGTAGATGCCGTCTCCTAAAAAGTAGACGCCGTCTTCTAAAAAGTAGACGCCGTCTCCTAAAAAGTAGACGCCGTCTCCTAAAAAGTAGACGCCGTCTTCTAAAAAGTAGACGCCGTCTTCTAAAAGTGGACGCCGTCTTCTGAAAAGTAGACGCCGTCTTCTAAAAAGTAGACGCCGTCTTCTAAAAAGTGGACGCCGTCTTCTAGAAATTGGACGCCGTCTTCTAAAAAGTAGACGCCGTCTCCTAAAAAGTGGACGCCGTCTTCTGAAAAGTAGACGCCGTCTTCTAAAAAGTGGACGCCGTGTTCTGAAAAGTGGACGCCGTGTTCTAAAAATAATCTCCTTTTTTTTCAAAAGTGCACGCCGTATTTTCATAAAAAAATTTTTTTTTTAAGTGGGTCCTGGACCTGGACTTCCGAATGCAGCCATTGCTCTCAAAAATTCAATCAATCACGTGCCTTGAAACGTCACCTTGAAACTCACATCAATCCTCGTCCATTGAAAATCAAGTGTTCATCTTGCTTCAAAAACTTCGCCCAACAGAAGGAAAAGGAAAGTCACGAAGCCAACTGCAAGCGACGCGGATACCGATGCGATTTGTGCAAGTGCTACACAACTGATCATAAAGCACATTTGATGTATCACATGCGAATCCACACTGGCGAAAAGCCATTCCGATGTGAAATATGCTCGAAGAAAACAAAAAGCCGAAAAACAGTGGCTGAACGAAGAAATAAAATTCACATTCAAAAAACTATCGGACGTAGAGTTGCAAGTGTACGCGCTACAATTGAAGATAACAAAAGACCTGTGTTTGCATGAATATGATGGGTGGACGGTTTTTGAGTGTGATTTAAGACAATACATTTCATCGATTGTAAACAAGAAAAGATTAAAGCAAAGCAAAAAATTGAGAAATTTGATTGAAAAACAAAAACGTGTGGATATAAATGTGGATTAACTGAAAACTGTGGAACAATTTTTACGGATTTTCAACCTGTTAAAAAAGAAATATTTGTATATAACACATTTTCCAATATTTTCATTGGAATGAGAGTCGGAATGACTGTTCCTGCTTGCCATAGTGCAATTGCAATTTATTGCGAGCGATTCAACGACAGGGATTACGTCAGTGTCCGTTGAAGTGAACAGTAAGCCGAAACAATTGACTCGTTCAGCGCGCCTTACAGACCTTGACTTAGTTATCACCGTCGGTAGCATCATCGGTTTTTTGATCGGTTTGAGATTCTATCTAGTGTAAACAACAGTTTCGGAACAAAAATTGGGAGCAAAAAAAAAGGTCCTCACTTGGGGGTCAAATTTCGTCAGCAGGGGTCAGGATCAACGAGATCAGAATCTATGATTCATACACTATTTTACTAATTTACTATTGTCAAAATATTCATCAAACGAAATTAACTAGATATTTGAATAAAATTGCAAATAAATCAATTTTTTTTAGTTTTTTTCTCTTTACAGTATTAAAATATAAGTCAAAACCAACCATTTGAATATAGTTTACAGCTGTAGTTTGTAGCAGAACTTTAAGAATTTTCGCAAAGATTCTTTTGAAAGAGTCTCTTTTGAAAAACTCATGGCAATTAAATAACCATTGACCATTGACGAATCCAAATGAATATATCGATGATATCATGTCATTTGACTTGATTTCTATGAAAAACATTTATCTTGTTGACTTGTGGTGGCTTGTACCATGCCGCACGCCATCCATTGAAATGGAATATTTTTCGATGTACAATTTACACAAAGTATTCATTTTTTTTAATCTCAAAATTGGGTGTTTTTTTTCTGAACTTATCTCTGTCAAAAGAAAAAGTGATTTTTTCCCGTTCAATATACGCCCCATCTCAGCCATATATAAATGAAGCGATTGATTAAATGGCCTTTAGTCTAATTTAATGTTTCACTGTGTGTTAACATTTGCTATTAAAGTAGTTTTTTTCTTCTAGGTTTTGCTTTAAAAAAATATGCATTCAGTGTTATTAGTTAATTAAATTAAAATTAAGGTGTACGTAATAAAAAACGTTGAATGCAATCAACTTGTTGAAGCTGTAAGAACACATTGCGTTTTTTTTTTCGTTTCCACGTTGAAACCATTAGAGAAAGAAAGTGGGCGTTTTTCAACGAAACAGCATTTCACTTTTTCACAGTAATTGCTCAGGATTTCAACTTTATTTCTCTTTACATTTGAAACAAAAACAAACCAATTTATCCTTATAATTACTTTCAGCTAATTGAAAAGTTAAAGTTCGTTTGCTTCTTCTGCTCTTTAATGAAAAAAATGCTCTGAAATGGCAAGAGTATTCAGTCTAGTGTTTTTTTTATTCTTATGGCGAAGTTGCGACAGTGCGTACTTTGAAGATCAGTAAGTCGACCGAATCAAACTAAAAAAAATAATTGTGCGATAACATTTTCGAATGTAATTTCAATTTTTAGACCGAAATTCCTCACTGAAAATGGCAACTTTGTGATTGAATCGGCCGTGGATAGGAATATTACGTTTCGTTTGAAAGGAAGCGGCAGTTATTTGAATATAAACGACATGAATGTAATGAACATGATGAAAATGGGCGGATTGAATGGATCAAATGTACCAAGTTCGAATTTAGCACTTCGACTGTCGGCTGTTGAGCAACGTCTTCGTCAAATTCCAATGTCTGAATCGTCAAGACCGCGCAATCGTAATATATTGCAACGTCTGTCATCATTGGAATTGAGACTGAATGGTAGTGGCTCGGGTGCGAATTTGAACGCATTAGAGTCGCGAATGCGTACGCTTGAAGTAAAAGTCAATTGGATATTGGAACAAGTGGAGAACGATAACTGTACTTCAAATCCATGTGGTGAGTATTGATCAGTATTGTTTTTAACTCCCATATTATTCCGAATCATCTTTAAACGTACGATTCAATTACAGCCAATGGTGGAACTTGTACAGAAACATTCCGTGGCTATTCATGCAAATGCTCGGATGCCTGGACTGGTGTGAATTGTAATGAAGATGTCAATGAGTGTGCCAATTTTGCGGGCACCGATTTAGGATGCCAAAACTCGATTGCTTGCGAAAATACACAAGGCGGCTATAAGTATGAAAGGCTTTTCAAATTCGTTTGAGAATCCAAAATGAAATGGTTTTTATTGTAGTTGCCGATGTAAAACTGGCTGGTATGGAATCCACTGCACACAACGCACCGTCGATTGTTTATCCTCAACATCGTACAACTTATGCGATCATGGTATTTGTGTGCACACGAATGATGCAAATGGTTACAGATGCATTTGCGATCAAGGCTGGATAAGTAATGGCACAACCCCGGCTTGTTCGACTGATGTGGATGAATGCAATTCGCCAACACCACATTGCTCTGTCGATCCAGAAGTTCCTTGCATCAATTTACCTGGCACTTATGTGTGTGGACAGTGTCCGCACGGTTTCACTGGCAATGGACACTACTGCAAAGATGTTGATGAATGCCTTGAGAATAACGGCGGTTGTAGCTTGGCTCCATTTGTTCCGTGCATCAACACAAGAGTAAGAAGAAGAGTTCTTATACAGATCATTTATCGAAGAAAAAAAACATTCATATTCAATTTATTGAGAAATTGGGATGTTCTTTGTTCTTTTTTTTGGGATAATTTCAAAAACTTCGTCTTTTCAATGAGAAAAAAAAAACTGAAAAATATTTTGTTCCTTTCTTTTTTGCATATTAAAAAATATTCCTTGATAATTCATATCATTTTAGGGTTCATCAAAATGCGGTAGTTGTCCGTATGGATACACTGGTGACGGTCGGATGTGTATTCGTACAGGAAATGCTCCCATCCTACCACCGATCTCAACGGATGTTCCAGCATTTCAGCAAAATCAGTGCAGTAATCCAGGTATTTGTCACCCAAGTGCAACTTGCGTCCAAAATCTCTATGGAATTACATGTGTCTGTCCACCTCATTACACTGGCAATGGAATTGGAACGTTTGGTTGCACGCGTTCAAATAACACATTCGATGGATGTACGTTGAACCCATGCTCAAACGGGGGAACATGCATCAGTGTTGGAACATTTGGCTTTCGATGTGAGTGTCCACCTGGAACGGTGGCACCACGATGTTCTCGCGGTTTGAGTGTTTGTGAGCCAAATCCCTGCTCAAACGGGGGCACATGCACCCAAATTGGTCGAGCCCTTTATCGCTGTACATGTCCAACCGGTAGAACAGGCCGAAATTGTCAACAGGAAACACGGTCTTGCGGCGGTATACTCACCTCATTCAATGGAACTTTAAAGTATCCTCTATCAGACACATATCCACACAATGCTCGTTGCGCTTGGCTCATCCGAACCGATGAAAACAAAGTTTTGAACATCACTTTCACTAAATATAATGTGGAAATATCACGAGAATGTCGCTTCGATTGGCTTCAGGTGGGCGTTTTTGAAACGATAATAGTTTAGATTACTTTAAATATTTGCTTTATTTTTTAGATTCATGATGGGCGGTCATCGGCTGCATACCACATTGGAAGGTAATTAACGAAAACAACAAATATTCGGTTCAAATATTCAAATTTGGTATATATTTTTTTTTATAGATTTTGTGGTTCGGAATTACCAAAGGGTGGTAATATAATTTCAACTCAAAATACACTGTACTTATGGTTCAGATCGGATAACAGTTCAGCACACGATGGTTTTGAGTTGAAGTGGAATAGCATCGATCCAGGTATTTGATTTTTCAAAAGATTTATTGATGATCAACTTTAGAAATGAATTTTTATTTTGAATTTTTCAAGTGTGTGGTGGAGAAATATCAATTCAAAGTCATGGAATAATTGCATCTCCCGGATCGCCTGGTAACTATCCGCCAAACAGGGATTGCTTATGGAAATTGAGTGCACCGCCAAGCAATCGAATTCAATTGCATTTCTTCACACTGCAATTGGAGGCTCATGAAACCTGTCAGTATGACTATTTGGCTATTTATGGTGGGCTATCAACCGAGGCCGATTTATTGGAAAAATTCTGCAACACAACACTTCCACCGTCGTTGACAAGTCCAGGAAATGAATTGACCTTACAATTCCATTCGGATGATGATGGCACCGATTCCGGTTTTCAAATTCATTATTCGCTCGTCGAAGGTATTCAAGGTTGCGGTGGTACATTCACGGCCAAAAACGGCGAATTTGGCTCTCCCATACAGAATGGAATATATCCAAAGAATATCGATTGTCATTATCTCATTAAAATGCCACGAAAAAATGAGACGAGAGTTAAAATAACGTTTTTGACATTCAAATTGGAGGGCAGTAGTTCGTGCAGCTTTGACTATGTTGAGGTGAGTGATCAATTCTTATTCCATGGGAATTATACAAGTTTTAGAAGCGGAAAATTGAATGAATAAAAATTTATTCGATTTTTTATAATAGATTTATGAAGGAAACAATGTAAATGCGCCGAAAGTGGGCCGATGGTGTGGAAGTCGATTACCTCCAGAATATTCCTCATTATCGAGTGAAATTCTCATTGTTTTCCACACGGATTTCTCATTTAGTGATGAAGGTTTCCGTTTGAAATATGAAACAGGTACATTATTTGCCATTTCGGGATAGATAATTTTTTGCGAACCTAAATTTTGTTGATACAATCCAAAATTCGTTTTTCAAAATTCAAATTAGTTTGTGGCGGAAAGTACGAAGATGACAATGGTGTCATAACATCTCCTTGGTTCCCCAATGCATACGATGACAACAAAAACTGTATCTACGACATTGAAGCACCGCTCGGCAAAGGAATTATTTTGAATTTCACCAACTTTGACATCGAAGCTGATTGTGACTTTGATTCGCTACGAATTTATGACGGCATTGATAGTAATGCTACCTTAATCGGCACTTATTGTGGCGATGAAAATCCACCGGTTACCACATCAAGTATGAATCACCTGCATTTGATCTTCTCCACTGATTCTTCCAACACTGGGCCAGGCTTCAGAGCTACTTATAAATTTATTGACGCAAGTACGATCGAATGGCTAAAACTCGCAATTTGTACACAAAGAGAAACTAAAAATTCCATTTTCAGAATGTGGTGGATCTATAACCAGACCAAATGTAACCATTTCACCTTCATCGGAGGATGGTGGCTATCAAAATAGTGCCAATTGTAAATGGTTTATTATTGCGCCGCCTGGTTTTCTCGTTCAATTAAGATTCACGTCATTCGATTTAGAAGCGTACCCAGAGTGTCGATACGATTACGTACAAATCTTCGATAATATCATTACCAATGCAACCAATGCACGAGCGATTGGAAAATATTGTGGAACTGAAGCACCTCCAATTATTTTAAGCACGTCACGAGCATTGACAATTCTCTTTAAATCAGACGACACAGTTACTGGCGACGGATTTGTGGCTACATATGATTTCATCGACGGCAAAAATAGTAAATATTTTTCTTTTGTTCTAAATAAGCTTTGATGAAAAGGTTTTAATGTTGAATTTCTTTCCATTTCCAGTGTGTGGTGGCAACTTCTACACATTGACTGGTTTAATCGTAAGTGCAAATACTAATTGAATGTACTAAATAGTTTAAAAGTGCTCAAATTGGAAGCAACTCAATCACATATGTATTTGATGATTACGAATTTTGTTTCGTTAGATTTCACCAAACTACCCAGACCGATACCCAGGAAGCAAAGATTGCGTTTATATCATCAATGCACCAAATGGCAAGCAAATTGAATTGAAAATTGAAGCATTTGATCTCGAAGAAAGCAATGGGTGTTCTTTTGACTCTTTGGAAATCAGGTTTTGCACCGTTTTTTTTGTTATTTTTCTTTGATCATGTTCTTACGCACCAAACAAAATTTGAATGAATGCTAAAATAATTTGTTTAAATATAGAAATGGTGCATCCGACAAATCTCCGCTCATTGGAACATTTTGTGGAACCAATATTTTACCCAGATTCAAATCATTCAGCAATCACATGTATTTGCGATTCAAGAGTGATTCGAGCAATGAAAACAGGGGTATATGCCTTTATTTATTCAAAACGTGGACTGCTCTCACTAAAAATGTATAAAATCTTCACAGGTTTCAAAATAAGTTATGACACAGCAACGAGTGGTAAGTACTTCTAACATTTTTTAGCTTGAAGCTCTTTTTTACGGCTGCTCCAATATTTTGTCCTCGATTAGGTTGTGGCGGTACGTTTACAAATGCGCAAAGTGGTACAATATCATCGCCAAATTATCCGTGAGTAGAATTTATGCCTTGCTATGAAATCACTTACAAAAATTTGTATCGAAAACCTTGAAATGAACATGAAAATTAATGGAATTGTGGGAACTGTTTTTTTTTTCTTTTGGCAGAGAACCTTACCCAGCAAATATGCAATGTGATTATAGCATTCAAGTGGCACGAGGCTCTACAATCAACTTGTTGGTGACTGATCTCAATATGGAAACAACTTCGGACTGCGCTTTTGATTATATCGCAGTTAGTAACTTTGATTTATTCTCTTTCTTTTTTTTTCAAAATAGACAGATTTTGTTTTGGAATGGTTGATGAGCCGTTTCCTTTGTTCATTTCAGATTCATGATGGACCAAATGCAGCCTCAAAACTACTTGGAACTTACTGTCACAGTGATCAAATCATCAATTTAGAATCGTCTTCAAACAGTGTTTTCATTCGAATGGTTACAGATGTTAGCAATCAAGAGCGTGGCTTTGAAGCTAAGTTCAGTGCAAGTAAGAAAAGATACACCACTTATTTTTAACGGGACGAATCGATTCAAATTAATTTTTCTTACGTTTCAGATTGCAAGCGTGAAATTCGTGACTTACGCGGAGCCATTGGTAAAATACATTGATTTTGAATTTATTTAATGGAATAATTGATAATTTTGTTCTGATTTCATTTTAGAATCTCCAAATTTCCCTGCAAATTATCCACACTACGCAAACTGTGAATGGAAATTGATACCACCAATGGGAAATAGAGTATTCCTTGAGTTTTCACACTTTGAATTAGAACACTCATGGTCAGACGCCGATTCAAATAGTTGTATTTTCGATCATTTAACCATTGAAGAGCGCGATAGCAGTGACGCAGTCATTAGAACGGATAAATATTGTCAATCAATGCCAAAACCATTAAACACATCCCATATCGTCGTTTTAAAGTCTGTATCTCTACCATCAATGTACATCCGAGAGTTTAATTGATAGTTTTATTAATTGAATTGAATTGAATATGTTAAGGTTCGAGACCGACTATAGTACTGCACTTGGTGGTTTTCATTTGGAATACGAGATGCAAGGCTGTGGCGGCATGTTAATCAAACCCGAAGGTCAATTTACATCACCAAACTATCCAAACGGTTATCCTCGTGACACACAGTGTCAATGGGTGATTCAAGTTGAATATGGACATTTGATTGAAATTACTTTCAACGATTATGACTTCGAAGCGTCTGTGGATTGCAATCAAGATGGAGTGCTTGTAAGATTTTAACAAACAACTCAGTTATCTAGGTAGTATTTTCATTTCAATTATATATTCTTAGGTTTCAAACAATGCCAATGGAACAAAAGTCATAAATAAACTCTGCACTAGTATTCATAATAATCAAAAACCGGTATTCACTTCAAGCGAAAATACGGTCTACGTGCATTTTTACACGGATCTTTCATATTCGGGCAGAGGATTCTCTGCAACGTATAAATCAGTGCCAGCCAGTAAGTGTGGAATACGAAAAAGAAAAATATCTCATTAAAAGATGAACTGATCTAATCGAATTGAAAACGGTTGATCTAATCGAAACTCTTTTCCATTGTCCCATGCAGAATGTGGTGGTACCTTTGCCGTTACTCAAGGAAATATCACTAGTTTGAATTATCCCAATAACTATCCAGAAAATACAAACTGTCAATGGCTTCTTCGAACTGAAACGTCACACACAATTTCATTCCAATTCACTGACTTCGATCTGGAGGATCAGAACTGTATAGCGGATCATGTAAGCATTTACGACGGATCAGAAATGAACGAAGACAAACTTTTGTTGAGATCATGTGGTAGTCAAACATTTGGACCGGATTCAGGCAATCAAACCGCTCGACCTGGATTCACCAGGCCACTTAAATCGTCGAGCAATGAAATGCTTGTTGTAATGGAAACAGATGACTCGATTACAGCCAAAGGTTTTGCGGCTCAATTTGAAACGGTATTTGAAAATCGGCTTGATTTTTGGAAATGACAGTTAAACTCATGTTGTGCTGCTTTTATTTTAGTCTTGTGGATCGAAAATCAACACATCTTCCAGTGGTATTTTGGAAATTGGACATAATCTACGATGGATGGCAGACGACTGTGAATGGACTATTACTGCAAATGAGCTAAGTATGATCAACACTTCCATCAGTTTATGAAGAACAAAATAATAGCACACTTTTCTTCCAGATCAACATGTCTCTTTGAGTATAATGCACATGGACAACGAGCCCGTCTTCCAGAAGTACATCGCACGTCTATCAAATCAAACATCAAGTCAGTGCTTGCGAAAGATTAACGTAAGTTATTAAAATCAAAACCACGACATAATCTGGCGGAAATTTCATGTTGAATTCATCTTTCAATAGGTTTACGATGGTACATCAACTAGCTCCCCGAAAATAGCCGAAATCTGTTCAAACAAACATCCTCCGACGATCATTAGTGAGGGTAACTCACTCACATTATCGCTTGCCGATGTCAGCGAACAAGATTTTGCTTTCACATTCGACTTAAAAGCAGCTTACACCGTCTTAGATAATGGTAAATGTCCCATTTTCTCTGTGAGAGTCTCGATTGTTAGGTTTGGATTTTGTTAATAAACTGAAATATTCGAATTTTCATTTTTGTTCTACAGCATGTGGTGGAGAGTACGGATCGGTTGCAGGTCAAATCGGTAAGTTTAAAATCGCTAAGCTCCCTTCAGTTTCAAGCTAATTAATTGTCTCTTTCTGTTTGTAGCATCGCCTGGATATCCAAAAACGTAAGTGTAATTTCTGTTAGTTTATTTCTAATTACCTTAGACCACTTACCCATTTGTTTCTATTTAGTTACAAAAACAATATAGAATGCGAATGGACGATCAAAGCATCGCCCGGAAATGAAATGGAGATCAACATTGACATGTTGGATATTGATCAAACGGAGCATTGTAATGGTGATTACTTGGAAGTTCGTGAGAAAAACAGTGCCGGAAAGATAATTGGAGTGTACTGTGGTACTAGTATTCCGCCAACGTTGCCACGGGTGAACACTTATTGGTTGAAATTCCGTAGTGACAACGATGGTGTTGGTCGTGGTTTCAGACTTGAATATAGTTACGGTAATTTAAACTACAGTCTTATGAAAACTCAAAATCAATTATTAACTTTGCCCGTTTAATTTTTTCTATCTCTCTTTCATTTCTTCAGCAAAATTCGTTGAACAAACCGGTGAAAGCGGTGTCATCACATCCATGATGTACCCATCATACTTGTACTTCACGCTCGGTTCGTATAAATGGCGTATCACAGTCGCTAGGGGCAATTTGATTCGAGTCACCATTGACAATTGTATCCTGAAGCGTGATAGCCAAATTTGGATTTATGATGGATATAGCAAAGAGTCGGGCATTTTACAAACCATCGAAACCGATAACATTCCAACTGGAACCATTCTATCGAGTACAAATGTGATTTTAGTCGAGTTTGAAATTTCGACATTTAGTGAGTCAAAGTTTAAATTGGTTTGGAATGAAGTGCCCAAATCAGTAGCTCAAGTATCAAACAATGTAACGAATAGTTTGAATTGTTCAAGAAATTCTGTGCTAACGGTTAGTGAATCGGACAGTTTGAAAATACAATCACCAGGTTTCCCGGGTGGTTATGATGGCCACAGATTCTGTCAATGGACATTTTTGCCATCGCGAATGGGATATCACGTTGGTATTTCTTTTACAACCATCGATCTAGAATCAACTCCTGATTGTGTGGCTGATTATGTGCGCGTTGGCAGTGGATCTGATATGCAGCAATTCCAACAAAGCTCACGAATGTGTGCCATGAGTCAAATTGCACGAAGTAGCCGATTCCATGGCACGCCAAACTTGAGAGTACAATTTTACACGGACTTTTCGGGCAATCGAACTGGTTTCGAAGGTATTGTGATGTTAGATTGTGGTGGTTTGCTTGAGTCGCCACAGGGTCGAATAACCAATCAGATGACCGTATCGAATCGATCACAATTTTGGATGAATGACACATGCACATGGACTGTGAGCGTAGCTCGTGGCCGAACGATTCAATTTGATTTCAAATCGCTGAATTTGGTGAAGAATGACGATGGATCGTGTAACAGTTATATCATCATTAGAAATGGTGTTCATGACGATTCACCATTCTTGGGTTTGGGCAAATACTGCGGAGACTCACCAGTGATGCCAAAGACCAGCAGCAATAAAGCCATCGTGCAATTTGTAAGGAACCGTGTATTCCGTCCATCAAACGAATTCGTTTTGACGTATGAACAAGTTGAATATGATTGCGGTGGCTCTATTACACTTGACTACAGCACCAATTCAACCATTATCAGTACGCCAAATTATCCAAACATTCCAAGTGCTCACATTGAATGTGCATGGCGTATAACGGCACCGAACGGTGAACTATTGAAAATTGAGTTTTTGGAACGATTTGATCTAACATCGACACCCACCTGTTTGAGTGAATATGTTGAAGTGCGAGAAGGTAGCACGGCCAGTTCTCCGGTCATTGGTAAATATTGTAGTACGAAACCATTGCCAATTTTCTCTTCTTCAAATATGGTACGTTTGAAGTATTTCACGGATGTTTCGGTACCGAAGAATGGATTCAAAGCTAAAGTCTCATTCGCAAAATGTGGCAAATCAATTGTGGCAAACAGTGGTTATATATCGAGTCCAGGATTTCCAGGAAGAGGTAATTTTGGAGTTAAACCTTGTGTTTTGGATGAATTGTATTCATGAGAATTAATTTTATGGTCGTATTTTTTTCAATCCAATCAACAGGAGCATATCCAACGCAAACCACTTGCGATTACCACATAACTGGTCGCATTGGAACCGATCTGAACATAACATTCCTGAGCTTGGATCTACCGGAGGCTGATAATTGCAGTGAAGTTGATCACATCGAAATCTACTCGATAATTAGAAATGCCGGTGGAAATTCGACCAATTCCGAAGTGACAAAAGTATGCGGTAGTATCATACCAGACAGTATTTTGACGTTTAGCACAAGCGCTTTGATCCGATTCGTTTCGAAATCTGGAAATAGTTTGTACACCGGTTTCCGGTTTATGTTTCAATCGACCGTTGACGTGTGTGGTGCACGCATTGAAGCATCAACTGGTATCATTCAAAGCCCTGGCTATCCATTAAGTCCGGACACAACGAAATATTGTGAGTGGATGATAACTGTACCGAAAGGTCGACGAGTCAGAGTTGAAGTGCTTGATTTTGATGTAAAACAATCACCCGTCACAGTTGTTAACTCAATTGTTTTCGCTACGAATGCCGATCATCGTGTTTCATTTTACAATGATTTCTTGTTTGCAAGTCATATCACAACGTTAATTGCCAACAATCAAACCGTACAGCCAACGATAGTTTATTCAACTGATAATAAGTTGGCCATCAGTGCATTAATTCGACGTTCGAATTTCGGTCGTCGTGGATTCAAAATGCGTTTCACGTCCGATGAGCCAACGGTGTGTGAGGGCAATTTGAATGGAAACGAAGGAACATTCCAAACACCTGACAATTTGACACGATTTTACTGTGAATTTACACGGGAATCAGAACGATCATTCATCGAATCACAACCGAACAACGGAACGCTTGCAATCAAAATATTCGAAGAATCATTGTATACCAACCGCTCGCAATGTACACCAAATCTTCCAACTGGTATTTCGGTCATTTTCTTCGCAAATGAGAAACGTACGTTTTACACAAAATGCCCATCAAAATATGATAACATCGCTTCACCGTATGCAAGCACAAAACTTACGCTACGCAGTACACTCTTCCACAAATATCGATTTCCGTACAAAATACACAACTGTGGTGGAATTTTGACGGAAACAATGACAAAAATCTCCATTCCAACGACAATTTCATCGAATTATGGCGAACTGGACTGTGCTTGGCAGTACAGCACAAACACTGAACGTAACATACAAATGATACTCAATGCACCGGCAATGAACTGCGATACGGATTACATAAACATTTATCGGGGTAAAGCTTCGAATCGGCCGAAAGTCAATCGAATTTGTGGAGACGCAGTATCGAATCAAACGATAACCATCAGCGGACAAAGTTTATTTGTTGAGTATCATACGGACACTTACAATCCATCCCAAAAATTTGCTATTGATATTGTGACATCGGACGGTATATGCGGTGGTATTCTTGATGCACCCAATTATATGTTTTCGAGTCCGAAAGTGGGTACCAAGTATCCGCCCAACGCTGAATGTGAATGGATTATACGTGCTCAAAATGGTTATCATGTTGGTTTGACGTTTACCAATCGTTTTATGATCGAAACCAGTGCCAATTGTACGAAAGATTATGTGAAGGTGTTCAACAAGGCTAATGGCGAATTCAAAGAAATCAAACGATTGTGTGGACGAGAAACGCCACAATTTTTAAACTCAACAGGTCGCGAAATGAAAGTGTTGTTCCGTACGGATGGTGATGGTGATGGCGATGGTTTTACAGCACAATGGGCAGAAAATTGTGGAGGTATTTTTAAGGCAACAAGTATACCACAGTTGATAACAAGTCCACGCTATCCCGATCCCTATCCTAAGAATGCTTTCTGCAATTATTCGATAACCGCTGAGGAAGGGCAATCCGTTACAGTGAAATTCTTAACGTTCGATTTAGAAGGTACCAACACAATTTGCCAATTTGATAATGTTACAATTTACAAACAATCACCGTACACGTTTTCCAATATGATGGAACAAGTCGGAACATATTGCTTGAATAGTTCGGTGACCACATTCCGTTACACATCACGCATCGATGTGGTTTTCCGAACCGATTCATTCATTGAGCGCAGCGGTTTTCAATTTGAGTACAGCACTGATAAATGCGGTGGAAATATAACCACATCGACACAGATTGGAAGCATAACTGAAAACAATGACGGAACATATTTACCATTGGCATCGTGTATTTGGTTTATCACCGCACCGAGTGACAAAAAGATTGTCATTCGCTTTGAACAATTTGATTTGGAGCACATGATGGGCTGCTATTTGGACTATGTGGAAATTTTTGAGGGGCATCGTATGGTTGAGAATAATCGTAGGGCTCGCCTTTGTGGAAATCTCACCAACCACGCTCCGTCTGTTGCCGTCGATTCAAACAAAGCCATCGTTAAGTTTGCCACTGATGCTACAATCAATGAAAAAGGTTTCACAGCGCTAATTTTGTTCACGAAAAACTGTAATCAACACATCAATTTAACCCATGCCCAGCCGAGATATACTCTGAATAAACTAACGGATCAATACGAGCCGTCGCTCAATTGTGAATATTTCATAAATGTACCCAAAGGATATGCGGTTAAAGCAACGTTTAATCAAATGCATTTGTTGCCATGCGAAACCATTGCTGTTAATAACTCATGCACATGTGATTATTTAAATGTACGCGATGGTTCTGGCCCATTCTCGGAATCATTTGGCTCATTTTGCGGTTCCTCGAATCCACCAGATATTCTGTCGACTACTCCAAGTTTGTACATGCGATTTGTTACCGATAACATTGGTTCGGGCACTGGTTTTAGCGTTGATCTGCAAATGATAGAATCACCATGTGGTCCAAGTACCTACCATTTGAACGATTCACTGAGCAGCATTTCGATTCAATCGCCAATGATGAATAGGCACTTGTATTTGCCAAATATGAATTGCATTTGGCAAATTACCGCTGAGCAAGATAAATTGATTGAAGTTCATTTTGAACAATTCGATTTAGAGTCGGACGATCAAAACAAATGCACAAATGATTTCTTGGAAATTACCGATGATGAGGTAACATTTTCATATACAAAATCTTCCCGGTTGATGCAATGAATTAATCACATTTGTTTCATTTTCAGACGAAACAATATGTGCGTGAAGGCGTAGGACAAAATGTGGTATTCTCTGGATCAGCAAAATCAAGGAATCAATATTTCTACTGGGGTATATTTTACCGTTTTCATATTCAATTCAATCATTTCATTCACACTATCATTTCCATTAGGTCGACAATGGCCGACTGCAGCTCATCGTTACTGTGGAAACAATACTCCAATTGATTACCTCTCATCACATCGAACCATCTATCTGCACTTTAAATCGAATGAAAAGGATGAAGCAAGCGGTTTTAGGTTCACAGCAAAAATCTTCTCTGGTAAGTTCACGTCGTGAATTACCTTTCTCTCCAGCCTAATCAGCATTCAGAGAATGAAACATAAAATCATTTCCGATAATTGGTCAATTCACAGAATGTGCACGAAATTACACGCAGCCACAAGGTCGCATATTCGGAAAAGCATTAGCCAACTGTGAATCGTATATTAGCGTTCCGGAAAATTATACAATCAGCTTGTATTTTGCTTCATTGGATTACCGTTTAAATGATGCATGCACCGAAAATAATACACCGTTGAAAGTAAGTCTGATTTCAATTAACCATTTATGCGCAGCTCAATGATACTGACTGATATTTTGATTGATGGTTTGAATTTCAAAGATATATAACGGCAAAAATAATGAGCTGCTTGAGTCGTATTGCGGTGAAAGTATACCAAAGCCTCTCTTCACGAAAACCAATTTATTGAAGCTAAAATTCAAAAATACCTCGCTCGCCTACATTCCGAATGATATGTATGACATTACCTATTTGGCAACGGATAAAGGTAATATTTTGATCCTTTTTTTCACATTCGATTTTATCACTTGAAACGAATGCTGAAACTGATTTTTTCAAATAGGTCCAGGATGTGGCGGTGAGCTATACAACTACGGTGGAACATTCTCCAGTCCTGGCTACCCCAATACAGATCGAAATAACTCGGATTGCACATGGATAATAAATGTTCCAATGAATTTACTCGTTGCCGTACAATTTCCAGGTAAATTCAACATAAACATGGGTAAATTATTTCGAATAACCTGATTTTCTTCACTTGAAATTTAGAGTTTGATATGGGACCGAGAACAACATGTGAACTGAACTATGTGGAACTTATTGAGAGCGATGATAGTGTAGCACCGACCAAGTTTTGCGGAACCGACAGTCCAGCACCATACAAAGCCAAATCCAGTCAGTTGAAGGTACACTTCAAAAGCAGTATGAATTTTGCGGGCACCGGTTGGGTTATCAATTTTATGGCAGTGCATGAGACTTCGATTGTGAATAAATTCTAGAACATTTGTCATCAGAAAATTAACTATGACTGTAAATGGGAACATATACATTTGGAAATTAATAATAAAGCAACAAATGTTTAACTATTCCAAAGTTGTACGATTTATTTTCACAAAGCCTGGGTTTAGTTTAACTATGCAATCTGCACGAGAGTCACACAGAAAATAGCAATTAGTTTAGCTGCCAATTTCAAAAGAAAACTACGATCGAACCTGGGATCGATTCACGGCAGTAGAAAGATGCCAATTTTTCCTCTTCTTCATCGCTTCAAAATAGTTTGGAAGGAAAGAAAAAATTGACATTTACTCGAAGCGATGCGTTTTGGATTTTTCATTGGAGTATTTGCTATTTGCTCGTAGTATTCGGATGACCAAATTAACCCTTTGACGACCTTTGGGACACATATGTCCCATTTTGTTTTTCGTCAATCAAGTATGAATATTTCATAATTGCATAATTCAAAATAATTTCCACATTTTTAAACCGATTTCAATAAAATTGGTTTCTATTGAAAGAGAACAAACATGTGTTTTAAGATTGCTGAGCATCTCAGCATTTCGTAAGGCACGGATATGTCCGAGCATATCGATGACGCATACAGTGGCGTGCGTTGCTACGCGCAGCCGCAACGACTCGACCGAAGTGTGTTCAGTTGATGTGGCTGCACGCAGCAACAACATACATATTCCGGTCATTCAGTTGAAAAAATTAATTTTTGATAACACTTTTACTAAGGGTTTTGGGGTCGCTGAGCACGAATCTGCAATCAGAATTGCAAAATTCCAAGCCGTTCAGTTTTGGTCGTCAAGGGGTTAAGCAAATAAAGCATTTGAATCGTTGTCGATTTAAAAATTTTAGAGTCAATAAGTAGCTCTCTCGTTGAGAATTTGAGTAAATTAGAAAAAAACTAGTCCACGAAAATGAGTAGAGGCAGGTGGGGAATTTCGGGACACCACCCAATTTCGCCTAAAATGAATGTGGAAACATGTGAACAGCTACCAATGTTTTCTCTAAGTTCAACAGGTTCATATTTCCATTGGCAGCCGACGCGTGTATTAGCGCCGTGCGAAATCGATGTGAATTCGAGCTTTGACAATTTATTTAATAACTGCAAATATATTAAGACGTACAGTGCACGAAATAAGATTAGGGCCACTTACATTTTTCGAGAAAAATTTAATAAATTGCAAAAGATTTTTCGTCTTTTCTTCATAAATTTATTTATTGGGATTTTTCACGTATTTATGAGAAAAAATGTTTTGAAATATTCTATTTTATTGTATTTTTTAAAGTTATTTTGGTTTTGAGCATCTTTCAAGTGTGAAATAAGGTTAAGACCACTTGAGTTTTGGTGCACAAAAAACAAATTGGTTGACTTTTTTGACATTTGTTTTTGTTCGAATTAACCCTTATGAGTCAATCGGTGCAATTTCACAATATCTATAACGCAATTGTCATTCGAAATTCGATCTGTCAACAATGGGTGCCGGTGAACCATTAACAGAGTCCGAAAAGGCCAACATTTTAACACTAAAAGATTATAATAATATGACAAATCGACAAATAGCGAAGAAAATTGGTCGAAGTAAAAATGTGGCTGGAAATTTTCTCAAAAACCGTGAAAATGATGGAAAAAATTACGTGACAGGCCGACCATCGACAATCGCAAGTGGCCAAAAACACCGTTTAATCCGAATCGCTGGCAACAGTTTTAAATCTGCTCGTGAATTACAAAGTGAAAATGATTTACCAGTTGGTGTTCGACGTGTTCAACAAGTTTTAAGTGGTTCACAACACTTGAAATACACAAAAATGAAGCGCAAGCCGATGTTGTCAAAAGCCAATGTTGCAGACCGACAGAATTTCGCTTTGGACCACCTACGCTGGACATATCAATGGCAAAAAATCATTTTACTTTTCCGCACGCCCATGTCGTGCGTAAAAGTATTGTAATCACTCCACAACCTAGGTACCCCAAAAAACCATTTTTCTATCCATTTTCGACACCAAAAAGCACGATACAGTGGTTATTTTGCTATGTTAATGTGGGTGTGTCGTACGCTGTACGCTGTACGCAAAAATTTGTTAGCACGATTGCTCAAACACCAGAATAGGAAATGAAATTCTGCAAGTACCAAACGTTTGTGCTTCGTTAGACTTGAAAACCATTAAATTTTCAGCCACCCCAGATGTACCCTAGGATACCTAGCCTATGAAAAACCTTCAAAAAATCGAACTTTTGTTCGGGAGGTACCCAAAATAGGCTACCCAGGTGGTTTTTATCATGCCCACCCGATTTATTTTATCAAAATAATGAGGGCCCAGGAACAACATAGCACCCGCTACCTTTTTCGTATCAAATCGGTATAATAATTCAAAATTTCTTGCATTTTTTTTGTTCTTAATTTTGCTAAAAATCGCGCTTTTGTATGAGAGTTTCAAATCACTCCTTGATTCATTCATGTTGTTCTATGGATTTGAAGGGCTGCCATATGAATACAATGTAAAAAAGACGCGTTATGATTTTGGTCAAGAAAAATGTGGTTATTTTAAATGGTATTTTTTTCAACTCGTCAAATTTCATTCCAATTTTTCCAAATCTATATTTTTGCATTTTCATTCAATAAAGAGATAAAAACATTTGAATCAAATTTAAAACGAATTTTGGTTAAGTTTCTGAAAAACTGCTCAAAATCTTCACACAAAAACAATTCATGAAACGAACACTTACACAGCACATGTTCAATCGAAGAAAAAAATAAAATGTTCTTTGAATTGGACATTAGTCGATGTGCGATGCGATGTGATGTCAACCATATAAGAAGCGCACACAGTCACATATTCCATTGACAGCTTCGCCAGTTCGAAATTCGTGTGGGGAAATTCTTATAAATTTATAATAAAACGGTGCGGAAAAGTTCGTCTTACGGAGGTAAGACTATTTATTTTATTATTGATTTGACGATTCTAGCCAATCTTATTCGGTCTAGAATAACTATGGAAATGATGACGACAATGACGACGACGGCACACGAACGAAAAAGTGTCTCAAACAAGTATTTTCTACGCGTTTCATGAGTTTTTATGATGTTCTAAACCAATTTGGCGGAAAAAAGTTTCGGGACAAATTCCTATACTTTATCTTAAGTGTTAAGAAATGTGTACGGAAAAGTGAAATAATTTCAACGCTAACATTCCACCATTAAAATTTTAAATTACTAAAATCAGATGAAAAACCTCTAGACGAGGTTAAAATGGAGTGACGCTTCTGTGCGTGGATTTATCTATTAATGATATCAGTCATTTTGAGTGACGCTTTGACGCTGTATTATCTCTGGGGACGAAGTTCAAAAGTATTTTTCGCATTCACTATTGTAAAAATTTACTCACAATAAGGAAAAATATTGTCGTATCGGGCACTTGGACCGGCGTTGGAAAGGTGGCGAGGTGGAACTTCTCTTGGATACCCCATACCCAAGCACTGTATTTCAAATAGAAATATGGTGCAATAGTTAATTCTATGGACCATAGCCATTGGGCATGGAACGCATACACACAATCGTGCGTCACAGTGCACGGTCGTTTCCGGCAGACGCGC